GAGAGAGAGAGAGAGAGAGAGAGAGAGAGAGAGAGAGAGGAGGAAGGGGTCAATTCAATTGATAGAGGGGAAGGTAGTACTATAACATAAATCAAACAAGAGCTCTCTAGATAAATCTTGGTAGAAGAAGTCCTCGTATTCGATCCGTTCGCCTTTTAGCATTAACATGAATGAGATTTTGTTCGTTTACTTTTCAATAACAAAAGTCCCAACCCGAACCATTCTGTTCTATGATAGAAGCTTTCAACGTAGACCTAAGGACAAATCTGTTGGGTGTGTGTGGCCATTAAAGGGCTTATGAGTGCTTGTAAATGAAGTTATATGGTGGAACATGAACTCAGTGGGAGTGTGGTCCCGTGTGGATCACACTAAGCAAATAATTTTTGCTCATACCGGACTGAGCTTTACGAGCCGGGCCAGTCTGGTTGGGAAAATCCCATATTACCTGGGCATAGAAAACAAACCCATAGGGGTTATGATGGGTCATCCCTTGATGAGGTCGGAGTATGCTCAGAAGAGTGAGCCGAGGGGCTGTGTGACCCTTGTATGTGATAGAGGCCTTCAGAGATGGGGCCAAAGCCTCATCCATGTACCATCACACGACATGCACAACGATAACCATTTTCGGGAAAGCGAACTTATTTTCAGGGTAAAGCGTGTGCATGTGCGAGAGATAACCCCTATGCACCATCGAGCAATGGATTGCATCAGGTCTGGGTGACCTTGGTTTCGTCTCTAGGGGAGAACTTGAAATTCATAGATTGGGACTACAACCACTTGCCCATTGGCTAGACTTTGGTGACCCACTAATGATCCCCTGCATGGATGGTAGGTTATGGGCAACGCTGGGTTGGTTTGAGAAAGCAAGTGTGGATCGTGGTCCACAATAGAAGGTGGAGCACCCCAATGTATCTTTATCCCTAGACCATATGGATCATTTTCCCATCAAAATATTTAATTATGTTTGTTTTGATGATATATGATTTTTTTGGAATTGTTATTTAATTTTTTTTAAATCTTTGAATATTTTATTTATCAAATTTGGATTTGTAAAAACAAAGATATTGATTTTACATTGATTTAATTATTCAAATATGATTTTATGAATTTTTAAAAATCATAATATTTATTTTAATTTTTTTATATTGCATGGGAGACCTGATAATATAAATGGGCCCACCATGACAATTTGAGTGGGGCCCACGTGTGCCATCTAGGGTGGCACGCGCCACCTTGAGGGCTTTCCAATTTTGAAGAGCTCAAGCTCTTAGCTTGAGGGTTAAGTAGTTTGTGTTTTGGATAGCTTATGCCTTGAGGAAATTTTGATTCAAATTTTGGTATGTATGAGAAGGTTTAAGCATGAAATAAGAAAGCATAATATTATCATGTATTATTTTCTTATTTGAATTAATTGATAGGAGGAAGTGGGGAATAATGGTTCTAACACATTCCATATGATCTTGATGGCCTATCTATGAAATGGATAGCTTAGATCTCTAACCCCATAAGTCACCCAAGATCATGGTACATATTCAATCTCACATGAAGAGGCAAGTCATAGAAAACTCTAAGAAACCCTAAAACCCTTGATGCACTATAAAAAGGGGAGCACCCTACCCAACTTGACACCTAAAGTTTTTATCTCTCTCTCATATCTCTCATATGGGGTATGCCCCACTCTTAGAAACCTCTCACTCTCTCTTGGAAAGTTTCTCTCTCTCTCCCTTATGCAAACTAAGGGGCACGTCCCACTCTCTTGCTCTCATGGAGTTCTCTCATCTCTCCCATCTGTCATCTTGTGTTGGGGCTAAGGTCTAGGGTGTAGTAAAAGAGACTCTCTCTCTTTCAACGAGGTTATCAAGGGGTTCACCTATGTTTGAGTTTTGTAATTGAAAGGGGGGTTCATGTTCCATTGATTTGGCTTGGCCTAAACTTGCTTTCCCGTTTGAGATTGAAGGTTGACTATTGATCCCACACCATTGGAAGGTGGCGACTCGATGTGGGGTGTAAGAAGCCCGGTTGCGGTAATCTTCGGCACCCTCTTTTTTTTCTTGCATAGTTATTTATTGTGTCTTTTATTCCCAAGTATAGGTTGTGTCTTTTCTTTGTTATTGAAATAAAGGTTTTGATGGCTTCAAGTTCTTGAGATCCTAGTTGTATTCTTTTCTTTATTTTATTTGAAGTTGTTTTATTGTAAAAGGACTACTTGTAAGTGATCTAAGCCAAGAAGAAAAAGAAAAAGAATTCAAAAAGAAGAAAAAAAAGGAATATATACTCCGGCTAGATCACACGAGTCCTTTCAAAATCTTTCAACACTGAGAAGTGAAAACCTGTGACTATATCATCCTGAAGTCGGATGTGATGGGAAGAAGTGGTATTTAGAAATCTTGTTGGCTTAACATTTAGGTTTCGGCATAACAAAGCTTGTACTGTCTTTTCGCACTTAGGCGCACAGCTTGTTGTTGGTAATGATTCTACTACGGTGCCACAAATTTGCAAGCTGATCCTAAGTAATCGTTCACTTGGATTGGAGTTCTGATGCTTTATATGCAATGACCCACACCAAGCACACAATTGCCTAAAAAAGCAGCCGTCCTTGAACACCATACAAGCCCAAGCCAGTGAGAATGTGCCCAGGATGGGGGCTCTAAGGCTGCTCAATGCATTGAAGGGGCAAGTGAAGGAAGTCAAGCCCCAAGCACGAGATGAAGAGTTCTCAATTGAGGTTGAGCATTGAAAACTCTCCTGGTAGGTAGTTCAATGAATCTTAGGTGACATCTTCATATAGTCTCTGTTAGCAACAAATTTAGAACTCTTTCACCAATCCTGACTTTGATTCCTCGAAATATTTCAAGAACTGAGGCCCAGGAGATGAAGAGTTCCTAATATAGAAAACTGACAAGCCCAAGACTCCTGTATGCTCCTTTGAAAACTTTGTCACCTGTTCCTTCTAAATTCACCGAAAATGTAACAGGGTAGAGCCTCCTAGGCAGTTTGGCTTGCAAAGCAATGGGGAGACGACCAATGGTAAACAAGGTTCACCACTAAGGTTGGAATCGTCCAAGATGTATTAATAGGCAATACCATCTTTGATGCATCAAAAGGGGGGGGGGGGTGGCTTTAGGGCTATTTTAACACCGCTACCCTAGTCCATTGGTGTGGACATGGGTAATCAAAACAAAGGAAAATCATTCCTCCAGTGTATGGGGTGGGGTGGGGCGTGGAGTTGTTAATCAAACAAATGATCTAATTACAAGAAAAGCCTTGCCGGAACAGCTGAAAATAGAGAAAAAAGAAGACTCTTGTTATTATTCCAGCAACTGGTGCCCAAGTTAGATTGAGACATGCTGGTTTCCAGAAACCTGGTATGACTGGTCAATCATTTCTAGTTTTTAAGCTTGATCTGGCTGCATAGGGCCCGATACTGGTCCATACTGGTTTGACTGGTTAGTCAGGAGCGGTTCTATATTTCTTATAGCACGTGTTCATATGAGTGACACTTCAATGATTCAAGTTTCAATGACTAATGTTCCTTTCAAACGTACAGTTTTCCCTGATTATATAGTGCATAATGTTGATCTGTTATACACTGTATTATGGATGATTGCATTCAGCATATTATGAAAAATAGGCATTTGAATTTTTTGTTTTGTTACTTGGTTTCACAATTTTATTTTGCAGCTCTTGATGCAGCAACCAAGGGAAACCATTTCATAAATTCATGTTTGAGGTATTTTTCTATTACTTTCTGAAGACCTTTTTATTTTTTTCATGTGTATGATCTCTCCATACAAACTAAAATAGCCTCCAAGGGTGTTATCTAAGTGTAAGCAGTGATATTAGTTTTAAGGGTTTTTTATTGTTTGCCCTGGATAGATATTGGTTTAGGATGTATTTTATAATATTATTTTTTAAGGAAGTTATAATTTGGATATGGGCAGTATTGGCTATTTTGTATTGATGGCTCTTCTATTGATATTAGAAACAGCACTTTTGTGCATCAAGCATCATGGAGAGCATCTTGAACTCAATCATATCATAATAGTTATTATTGCTTGAGAACCAAGCCATTCACTATCACATGAAGATATTATGGTCCACTCATTATAGTTAACTTTATAATATTTGAAATAGTCAGCCGGTGGCTTTCAAGTACCATTAGCTGATTGCTACGTATCAACTTCAATTTATTTGAAAAAACTTTGTTGAAGTTACTCCGGCTTTTGGAAAAACACTAGAATTCACACATCTATTACACGTGGGGCTACTTGTCGGGACTTAGAATGGCATTAGTTTCTTTCATTTTTGTGGCAAAGCTGGTTAAAATTATTAATGTTATCGAGAGGGAGAGCTGTGGGGTTTGATTATTGCTGCAATAGATGATTTGTTTAAGGATGATTTATCAACTCATAGGTGTATATTAGACTCCTGAATTTTGAGAAAGTTCCAAAACTTATACTGCAATAACCAATCTGAGGAAAGCATGCTAAAGGAACTTGGTAACTTAATTGATATTAATCTTGTGGACTCAAACTCAGGAATTGTGCCTTAGAGCTTGATATGGAATTGTGGATTGATTTCATCTTTCTCACGCAAAAACCTGATGTGATGTAGAGCACCAGCCTTGATTCATCTTCCGGATCTATACCAAACCCACATGCACAATGTGGCCATTGATCTGAGCCATGTTGGATATCCCTATGCACCTCATGCTTAAATGCATCTCAGTAGTTTCTTCCCTTCTTAACCTGTGGCTATTGTCGTGCTAGAGCAAATATCATAAAGGGGCATTATGGTATGTGTTGTGTATAGTAACTATACATTTTTACACTTCTCCTCAATGATGGATGATGAAGGAGATGAACCTTTTCCTTCCGCTTGAAAGTCATGAATGGACTTTAGGAGGAATAGTTCATCTTGGCTTATCTATTTTGAGACAAGAGACAGACATTTGAGATGAGTTGTTACGATACTATAATTGCTATAGCATGGTATACCCTACAATACTGTTGCTATTGTATGATTTGACACAGCATTAGGGGGAGTTCTTTTGGGCTTGCTGTTTGCTCCTACAAATGGTGCACTCTGCAGTCTGTTACTTAAGTTGTGATGATTTTCCTGTGTGGTGTTACAGATTAAATGAAGAAATGAAAGGCATGGAAAGTCTTGTGATGCAGCTGTATCCTTTTCATGGTTATCTCAAGCCATTTTATTGTGATGTCAGATGAAGTGTTATTCATAACATATCATTTGCTAAAGTATACCATAATTAAATGGAGTATGGTACATGGTACTCTAAAGGGGCACCCGTCATTTGTTACTGATGATGTATTGTTGAGATTAACTGTGCATTGGTGAATGTCACATTGGTGAAATGTGAATATCTTAGTGGGATCCATTACAGTGAATGTCTGCTGTGTCTCATCAAGACTGAAGGGTCGATGAGTACCCTCTACCATACCCATGGGATTATGGTTTACTTGCTCCTCTATAAAGGCGAATTAGGGATAAAGGGATTCACTTTATAATGGCTTCTTGCAATTTCTGCCACACTTCAGCTAATATGTTTCAATGGCACTTTATTTGTGTCTTGTAAGAATCATGCATTAGAGTAAATGATTTTTGTAATTGAAATTTTTCGCAAAGTAACTAAAATTTAGTTCCATGACTTGATATACTCATATAGAGGTTTGGTCATATATTTTCCTTAGTCTTTAAATGATGATGAAGTGGCTATTAAATTATACGTAAGAAAACTTATAGTTTCACATGCATATATAATATTATGACTTCTTGTTTGATGATTGATCGAAATTAAATATTATAATCAATTAAATAATGATGCAGTATAGGGAAGAACACTACTTAATAGGGAATAAA